TGTATGGAGTACATGAACCGCCACAAGCAAAGAAATAAATAATTAATAATTAATTAATAAACAATTGTATTATTCAATTAATATTATTATTAATAATAATAATAATTATTAATTAATTGGTTACTTTATATTCCTTCAATAGCTTTATTAATGTCAGTGTTAGTCCAGTCGTCATTAACATTCTCCAAGTGATTGTCAAAGTCAATCAGTTTCTTATAGACTCCGTTGAATATCAGTTTCTTGACAGCTGGTATGGTCTGGTCACCATTGATCACTGACCTGGTGAGAGAGAGGGAGAGAATGAGCTGATGGTATTCAGTTACTTACAATTCTTTCTGTTCTCTCCAGACACCACTGGAAGCATCGGAACAAGTAAACATCTATTAATAATAATAATAATAATAAAAATAATAATAATAATAATAATAATTTAAAAAAATAATAATGAAGATGATAATGAGTTAATGACACACCTTTAATGATAATGAATCATCCTGTTGCTGTAATACAGTGTCATGGCAGCTTATGCTAATATACAGTAAAGGCTATAGTAGATGAGAAAGGCTATAGTAGTTATAAGTGGTGAGCCTATAAGCAAGCAAAGTATCAGTTATATAATTTTGGGTGCATGGGATGGTTTTAAAATGCTATATTTCATCATTACTTAGGATTGCAAACAGGAGGCAAAATCCTACCATTATCATAGACATCATTTTCATAATAAATTATGTTTGTCAACGTCTCTTTTATTTTAGCCGAGTCACTAACTGTATCAAGTATTGAATCCACTATTTCAATAAGTGTAATATCATCAACCAGTAATGCCAAGAATATATCCACTATTATACCTACAACATCAACTGGGCATAGTTCATCAAGTATAATACCATCATACAGCACTACAACATCTTTGATAACAGGTTTGTTATGTGTCTACAATAATAATAAACTATTTTAATTACTAGTGACTAGTTCAATGCCAGTTGATGATGATACTGACAGTACAGATACAGCAGTGTCTATTAATGTTGGAATAACTGTAGCACTTGTGATCTCTGGACTGATCAATATCATATTCATAATATTATCAGTTTCTGTTCTTCTTTATTTGTAAGTATAAGATTAAATGTTGTGTCGTATTATGTTTTATTTAGGAAGACATCCAATAAATCATTGACTAATAGGAGCTCACCTACTGAGGCCAGTAATGTGGAGTATGATAAGAATGTGAGCTATCAGCTGCATAAAATAACTAATGAGTAAGACTCTATGATAATAAAAATAATA